GTGAATGGTGATGTAGTAATGTGTCAAAACTGGCGAGATTTACGATGCAAGTAATTTTCAGTATATTTGATCTACAATGAGCGGATCATATAGAAAAACGAATTTCAAACAGAGTTCAAAGTGCAAATTGCATTTATTTTCGTGATGTACATGGATATGGTATCGATATCAAAGTGAAGGTGGAAGAGGAGGGACATACTGTACGATTTAAGTAGGAATTTTAGTTACAAGCGTAGAATGACGGCACATTCGCCGATGGCAAGCTAGATGTAGTGCACATTTTAGTTTTTGTGAAAAAAGATACCGTTGAAAAGGCGACCGACACAGGTTGAATGTTATACAATTTTGGTTATGTGGTAACACATTTAGTACAATGTATATGTTTTTATGCCCCCGCCATTTATGGCAGGGGCATATAAGGGTTACCCTCGGTGTCCGTCCGTCCGTACGAAACAGGGAATGTATACTATCCACTTCTCCACCATAACCGCTCTGTGGAATTCAATGAACTTATACATGGGCTTTCTTGGGACTCAAATGGTGTGCATCTCATATTTTTTTATATTTTGTCTCAAGTTTAGAGACATTTGAACTTAGGTACATTTTGCTGAATTTCTCTCTGAATATAGTGTTGTAGGGGGTGAAGTCTATCCACTTCTCCACAAAAGCTGCTCAACAGAATTGATTGAGCTTCTACATGTGTTTCATTGGAACTCTAAACGTGTGCATCTCATACCTTGTTCATGCAATTTCTTAATTTTGTCACTTTTACAGATGTTTGAACTTAGTTGAATCTCGTTCTATTCAGCCAGTGTTTGTTCCATCCAACAGGGGGTGTACGTTATCCACTTCTCCTCAAAAACTACTTTATGGAATTCATTTAGATTACACATGTGCTTTATAGGGACTCTAAAGGTGTGCATCTGATATTTTGATTTTGTATTTTATTTATTTTTCCAATTTTAATGCCGTTTAAACTTGTATAAATTTTGTTGAATTTCTCTCTGAATATAGTGTTATAGAGGATGAAGTCTATCCACTTCTCCACAAAAGCTGCTCAACAGAATTGGCCTTCTATATGTGTTTCATTGGGACTCTAGAGGTGTGCGTCTCATACCTTGTTGCAAACTGCAACGTCATTACAGTGTAGAACTGATGACATAGCCAGCTGACGGCCAGGCAACAGATGGATTAAAACAGTAGCCTGCGCATCGAAACACAAGAACCTCACCTATACCTGCACCACGTGAAATGGGTCTAATAAGGTCTAACGATGTCATAGTTTCCAAGGGACATAAGCCATGGTGTGTTTATTGTGGACACAGAACTCTCGGTAAATGTTGAAAATATGAATTGATATAACGCAAAAAAAAAATTAGTTACTTCTGATATATGTACGGGTTTGGATATAAAACTACTTGACAAACATTTTTCATGATGAAAAAGTGCAAGACAAAAAGGTTTATTTTCGTGTACACTTGCCCTTTAAGAGGTAACAGGGATAGATAACTCTAAATGAAAGTGAACGAATCTGGTACTTCCTGTATTTTGCGCTGCACATTTACCAACTATAGATATAATGATAATCACGCATACTATCGATACACCGATAGTTTTTTGTTTCTACCTTTGATTAATTGCTATCGGAGACTCAACAATTGCAATCCAGCGATAGGTTGATGCATTGTTACAGCTCTAATAATCACCCATTGAAATGTTCATTAACTCTGCAAATACCATAACTTTATTTCATCAGCACCATAATAGCACTTGATTTAAAGTGTCCTCATCACTAACAATTATTTTTATCAACCCTCACACATAAATGTCTTTTTCTGATTGACTGAGCGCTGTTCTATTATTTTCAATGTACCCTGATTACAAGCGAGTAACATTTTCTATGTTAACTGCTGGGAACATTTGGTACTTCATGTTAGTAATTCTTTATCTTGAATAATTGGGTGACGTTTGATTACCGATGTTTTGCACAAGCAAATTGATGGAAGGGAGATAACTCTAAATATGGTTTTCTTGTTCTCTGCTAGATTCTATGTTCATGAAAATCTAGTATTGGCTAATTGCCTAACTCTGGTACTGATTATTATAATCCGATACCCGTGCTTCAAACAGTTCAAAATTACCATTGAGGTGTTCGGTAAGATAAATACGTTGTTCACTGGTCCCTGAGATGAGCCCATTGGCTGATGTACCCTCTATGTTTGTTTATGTTCACCTAGGCCAGCCCATGTCCCCCTTCCGGACAAGTGAATAACTTATAATATCTGCTTGTCCATGAATTATTGTTCCTCCTTATAAAGCACCTACATGTGTGCAAGAGGGAAAAAAAATTTTTTTCCTGTGTGTTCTAGCTTTAATATATTTGTGATATTAGTTGCTGTTTTTTTGGTTATTTTACATTGTAAATTCAAACTGATTCTCACATAACCTCAGTATTAAACATTAGTCATTATTTTATGATGTTAGTGACATGTTTGTATTTTTCGGAAGCTATAGTGATCGATCTAGTTTCTCTGGGTAGTTTTTACTTAACCTGTCTTGTAAAGGCAAGAATTGTGTAAAAGTTTTGGTCACTTCATGACACATAGTGACCCTCACATATCCTTGGGGCTCAATATCTGCAGTGCTCTACCATCTTGCATCTGATCTTACTTAATAAAATCAGGGACTCATGGAAGAAGTTTGAGAGGAGGGAAATTGCCAAGAGGACAGCTGCAGTATTGTCTTCTTTCATGAGCATGAAGCGTTCCACGTTAGCAGCCCCATCCATGGTAGAAGAAACAATAGTGTCCCTAATGTCAGATTATGGTATGGCATCATATTCAAGCTTGGCCTTGTATGGGTAAATAATGGTTACCTTGGCTAATGTCAAATATACAAAGTGCTGGTTAGTTATTTCTTCATGTCTTGAAACAGAGGAGTCATCACACTCATGATACTCCAATGCTGAAACTGTGTGAAAGGTTTTCATACCTCCACCATTTTTCTGGCTGCCAGTGCCCAAGCTCTATAACACACACTACTGTTCAGAGTTATCCCAAGAAAAGTTTGTGCCATCAAAAAGGCAGGAGTTCTTTCAGGAGGGCACCATGCATATAAGACCACTCCAAGCCAAGGGAGATTCACCAAGGAAGAGGAGTTTTCCACAGGAAAGAACATTAGCGATAGAAGGCAATTTACAGTCAGGCTATCCCAGATGTTGGTCAAAACACTGTCGATTTTTGCACTTTTAATTATTGCTGACAGAAATTCAACATAATGCCAACACTGGGACCAATGGAAGGACAGTTGGTGTTATTGGTTGGAGGCTCAAACGATTCCAACCTTATAATCAGGCTGAATTTTCTTCTTAGGTGAAATTATTCTCTACATGTACACACTTGGAATATTCAAAATAACTTTTAGCCAGTAATACTTAGTGTCTTTGTGTTTTGGCAATTCCAAATGACCATAGCTGAAGCAAATTAGGAGCCACAGGATCATGTGGGTAATCTGAAATAATTGTCCCTCTTTAATGCGGAAATTGCACTTTTTATAAATCTCTAATTTAAACATATTCTGTGTTTTTACTGATCAAAAATGTTAATAAACTGGTACACTTTTAATTCAAAACATTTTTACACGTAATAGGCACTTTTAATTCAAAACATTTTTACACATAAAAGAGCACATCTGTACAAGTTCATTGCATGATTTCAAATTGCATAAAAATCCATTCCATTTTAGTAGCAACCATTAGGTTTCCTTAGATACATAACGCTCACATACATGAGTTACATAGATTGTGTTATTATTTTAGGGAGGGAATCCCAGCTTGTCACAGGTTACATAATTCAAAATGATGCCGCTGACATGCGAGAGATCGACAGAGATATTTGATGGTTTGCAAAAATTAACCTCTGAATATTTTGATACCGAAAATAGGGTTGGTATAAGTACAATGAAGTCATTCATAGAAGTTTTTTGTGCTCATAATCGTAACGTGTGCGTGGAAGTGCGACAAAGGATTTCCTCCATTGCTGCCTATAGAGGTGCTTCATAGCGTTCGTGTACGTGAGCGCAATTTATCTCGTCTAAGACATGGGTAGACATGACAAAGACCTTTGATATGAAAAGTCATATACTGGAGATGAGAGTACCGTATCTGGAATAGGAGTACTGATCTCTAATAGAAGCAACTCTCTAATAGACAGAGGTATGATCATCGTAACACTCTTGAAATCAGCTTCACACCCAAATCATTTCATGTCCGTCTCACTAAAATTTTTAATTTATTCAAGTGCCTCCAACGTTGTTGTTTTTTTATAGGCTTTTCATGTTTGCCAAGAATTTTTTCACAATGGACCATTGGATTCTACTTATAAAAGCGAAGGGATATAAGTTCCACTTTCTTCATCTGACAGATCCTGTACTCTCTTTTTTTCCTTAAGAAGAGACCCACGTTATCAGTTATCAGCAGCCACATTCAGATGCTACTTAAGAAGTGAGCAATTTAGAAACTGGTTTTCCAGAACCTGAATACCATCTGTTAACCATTTGTATAGAGAGTATTTGGGTTTGGAGAGCATTTGGACAATCTGACTATATTATGGATTTTCTCAGAAGAGTCTCCATATCAGTCTCTCAGAGTGGAATACTGGTCTTCCATCCCAGTGTTTGCTTACATTAAAAAGCAAGGTGGAACCAAAGTCAAGAGGTTTGATGAGAGTACATGTTTGTTTGCATCAGTAGACTTCATCAATTGCTAGATGGAGGCCCACCAAATTGCAAACAAACTCAACACTATGGTGTAATGTTGATCTTATCAGGGAATGATTGTGAACATCTCTTTATCCGAAAGTATAGTATGAAGACAATGTGGGATACTCCTCACCTAGATTTGTTTGGCATTTGTGTCGATAATGCTGTCTATTAGATGATGGGCACTGCCTTTGATGTAACTATAATGGCAAGAATGAAGATGCAGTGACTTTATGTTGCAGGTATTGTGCCAGCTAACAGCAAGGCTGAAGTGACAGTAACATTCATGCCCCGGGAGTTCCATACTGTCCAGGCCAAGATACAACTGACCATCTCACAGTTCAATTCTAAACCCATCATCTGTACTTTCTCTGGACATTCCTCACCTGGGCTTCTCAAGTAAGTTGAGTGATACAACTGCTAAAATATTTTTTCATGATATTGAGAACTAATTTAATGTAATTCTAAAGGACACAAGAATAATGAAGTGCAGCCATTAGGCCAAAGTGAACATTACACCATATTGCAGAGTGTTTATAAACTCATGTAACATGTATGTGGGTTATGTACGAAGTGTCTCGATGAAATCAAGTAAGAGAAATCAGCTATGAAAATGAATGCTGTGCTCAGTAAACAACACTTGTTTGAAATGTAAACAAAGCACAGTTCAGATTTTTCATATGTGAAAGATCCGTTCATCTACGTGTTGCATACACTTGCTCATTAGTTTTAGAATAGGTGTGGGAAGAATTAAGGCAATAACAATAGATGTATTCCAATGATTTGGTAGTTTCAACTCAATTATTTATGGTTTACATCAAGGGTGAAGCCATGACACAAACCCATGTACAACATTAACAGTCCTTCTCTTCATTACTATGTCCCTTGCGTACTATGAAAACAAGAAGACAAAGTCATCAATATCCCCCACAGTGGTAAAATACTATTCATGAATATGTCTGCTGGTTATGAGTATGTCCAATGTTACATTGTTCTTCACATTGATCTAATGAAAACATATACAGTCAAATCCCGATGAGTCGAATCGCTGGGGACCAAGTAATACATTCGACTTATCGATGTATTCGAGACATAGGTATGTCTATGAGGGTAGAAAAAAAGATGATCCAGTCCTAATTCCTCCACCTAAGCATTTGTTTACCTAATGATTTCCCTATCACTAATAGGGGCACCTTATCAGTTCCAGTCTGATTAGCACAGACAGTGATTTCCGTAAAATCACTAATCTGCCTTTTGAACTCACCCGTCAATGGCGGAAAGGTATGAGCCTCGCTGGTTTGTTAATTGGATCAGTTTGCTACACCAATCAACTTCTCATTGACTGACTTCGGCTTATGTATACAAGATTGCTGTTGTTTGAATCTCATGGGACCAAATTTCCTTCTCGAGTCATCGTGTGTATTTATGAGACGAATTCGTGTAACCGGTATTCAAATGATGACAACTATAACAGGGAATGGTTGGGACCGACAGGTACTTCGAGTTATGCATAATATTCGAGACACCGGCATTCGACTCATCGGGATTTGACTGTACATATAATGTATGTGTAAACTATTCATGAATACACTAGCATGTTTGTATCAACAACAGAGTGCAAGAGTGCTTCTACGGTTTGATGTACCTCAGTAATGTTGATACTGGAAATAGAGTGGTACTGTTGATATATGTCATTAGGTTCTTGAATACCCACAAAGTGGAAAGAGAGTATCTGAAAGTTTTAGAGTTCTGCTTTGGAAAGGAACACTACCACCAATTTCCGTCGAAGTCAAAGTTGTTGCCATGGAAACACAAAATATATTTTACACTGATATCCAAAACTACCAAAGGCACCACTTCACCACCAGACCTGTCTATGTGCAAAATTTGGTGTAGAAATATTTAACGGTTTTAAAGTTCTGCCGCAGAGTTCAGAGTTCAAAATTATTCCCCCCACAAAACGCGTTGCAGGAGATAATAACAACATTGTCAGAATATTTCTGATTACTTGTCACATTTAACAAGCCATCATCTCTGAATCAATGAAAGTCTCCATCCTAACATTATGCATACTTGTGTTGGTGAACGTGCCATTTTGTGAAGGTCATTTCATAACAATGATGGCACATGTTTGTCAACATTGTCATACATATTTAGTGTTTCCATTAAGATGAGTTTTATTAAATGCAGATTTTTTGCATTATGTTTGAACATGGTGTCTAAGTGATAATTTGTTGTAACTTACATAACTTACTGTGTTCCATTTTACTTTCAATGCCTAGTGTTTGCCCATATTGACAGTTTACAGTTTACTGCTGTTTGTGTACAATCTTCTCACAACTGATTTAGTACAGTATACCCTCGTGTCATGGGTTTCCATGGTATTAAGAAATTTACGACCATGAATATGATCGCTCATATTGCCAAGTCATATAAACATAACATAGTGTTAGACGACATACCTTTGTATCATTTAATGTCAATAAAACACTTTTGTCATTCTGAAGTTCATTGTTGACCGTATCAGATGACAGGTGGTCATTGTGCACAAACTCTGGTGACATCATAAGTTTCCATGGTATTTCCTACAGATCAAATTAAGGGCGCACAGCACATGTCACAATCTCACACGTTGTCAACAGCCAATCCGGGAGTGTCAATGTACGTTTACAGTAATAACAAAGTTGATAAATTGTAATACAATAAACGATTTTGTAGAATTAACACAATAGTCACATTTCTTCAGCATAAATTTCCAGTTCATAAAATATGTAGAGTTGATCAACAGGATACGGGAAATGAAAAGTGAAAAAACAACTTAAGAGATGACCCTATCGGGCCTCCATAATTTAAAAAATAGAGCTGGGATTCCCCTCTTAGGTCACGTGATTGTTTTTATTGATGACATCAGCTAGCAGACGAGCGATGTTTGGAAAACTTTGAAGCTGAGTAAGTTTATAGAAAATGTTTGTAAAGATCGCACCAAAAGTGCTTTACGTGCTAGACATAAAGTTGCATTAGTTTTTATAAGTAGATGGCTGTATGTACGCAAATTGATGAAAGTCTGATCATTTTTGGCTCAGAGCTGTGCTGATCGCCTGATGAACGTAAACAATCGATAGGTGGCGCAATTTGGTGAGTGGCTCGTGAGAAATTATGTCATTAGGAAATACCACGGAAACGTAAGTACCACGGAATCATATGACGGCATGGTACTAAAAACTTAAGGCCTATTTTTGACCCTCAAGAACTGATTCCCTCAAGCTTGACTTTTTATCACAAATGTCCAGGTTAATTATGTCTCTCATGTTAAAAAGCTGAGAGGTATACGGTTACAATTTCCATCCAGTAACTTAAAAACTTTTGGTTGTTTTAAAATTTGGAGACCACCTTTTTTGTCTAAACAAGAGGCGTGCTGCAAATTTTGATTGTGACATTGAAATCTTTTCAAGAATTACAACAATTTACAATTTTCAACTTTGAACAGATTTTTCAACCTGTAACTTGAATTTTTTGGGTCAAAATGTGCTCAAATTTTGAAAACAACTTGTTTGTCTAAAAGAGAGGTGTAGTGCATGTAATATTTGGTTCCAATTTTGTAATTGTTGCAAGACCTATGCCAATTTACATATTTTGAAATAAATTTTTTTTTGAATTTTTGTGAAATAACTTGAAGTGTTTTGATAGATTGTTTCATTTTATCAAGAATCATCAGAATTTACATCTTCTGAACGCAGGAAAAATGACCAAGGAATATAAATGAACCATAAAGTGGGGGAAGGGGGACCTACTGTCTTTGAAGTTTATGGCAAATCATGGATTAACTGTTAGAATCATGCCTGAAGGTCATGTATGTGCTACCAGAAGTAATGTCGCGGGGAGCACCGCAAGAATCAGATGTGATGTCATCAGAACCAAATGTCTTAATAAACAGATGAGTTTTGTGAGACTGTCAGGCAAGGTTGAGAACATGTCACAAGATGGGATTTGGCCTGCACTGGCAGTAATCTTGTCAGTTTCTGATGAGTAAGGGTATCCTTAAACCATAACTTCAATTTCAAATCTTCAAGTGGTGTCACAGATTCTATTGTTTATCTTCAGTTAGCCCCACACATATGGAACTGATCTGTTTATAGGGTCCATGAAATATTCCAGAATTTAGAAAATGCCTTCAGTAAAGTTTAATATAATCCGAGGGAATGAAAAGTTTCAATGTTCAATATATATAAGATTACTTGAAGTCAGAACCCACCAGTTTACACCAGGTACATTCAGGGATTGATATAATAGAGGTAAAATGTTCACAAGAATTACGGAACAATAAATATTCTTGTTAATAACTCAAAGAATACTGCCTCCATCACATCCCGCCCACCTCCCAATCATCTAATTTTAGAATTTGTTTTTTGGAGAGAGGAGAAATTTTCTGGCCTTGTGCATGTGCAGAAGGTACTGGAGACAAGATATTGCTAGTTGTGGAAATTAGATCGTAAAGAGGACTTTGTTTGCAAATATGATGATGTCTTTTTAGTGTGATGGCTGGAAGAATTATGTGAATTAGACATTGATGTAATGTGGGTAGTATCCTTTCAGTTGTTAGCAATGATAAGTATTGTTTTATTAATGCAGGGAAATATCTGAAAGCAGCCATGCAAATTCAGAGGTTCTTGACCCCAGATGCCTATCTCCACTGGACCGTGCAAGATCCAAACGGAAACCATCAGTGAATAAACATGCCTTAATGACACCAAAAAAGGTAACAATGCAACAATATAGCATAAAGGAATTATAACATGTTGTTAACTGACTACTGGCATGTTTCCATGGATACAGGTCAGCAGGGTATATTTCACAGATATTATGACATTTCCTAAGTATGGCCTGCTTATGATGTCTAGGTTTCTACCTGCTTATGATATCTAGTTTTCTACCTTGCTGCTTATTGTAAATATTTGTCTATATCTCATTTTTAGTAATATGTTCACTAGAGTGTATTCTCAGCTTTGATTTTAATAGAAATACATACATTTTTTAAACGTATCTTATCTCACGGCTTGCACCTCTCTCTCTTGCTTTGACACTGAGTGGAACAACTGTAAACTTTTTCCCTTGGCCTCTCTTGTCCCATCGCCCGTGTATTCCATGCTGCTCTCGCTAATGGACTACTCACCGCGATCCATACAAGGCATGCAGTACGCTCCCCAGCAACCCACGTGACCGATGCTCACACATCATTCTCTTTCTCGTCGCGTCCCTGGGTGGATGTAATTGTACTCTCAGTTCCCTTCGTTGAACTCTCCATTATGGGGAAACCTGAAAATTAAACGGAAGTTTTGCGCAATGTGTAAAAAGACTTTCTCCAATCTTGACCCACACAGTTCTTGTGTCGACTGTTGGTTTGTTTGAGGCTGACGATTGTTGTAACAAATGTTCCCGTCTGTCTGAATATTATCTTAAGGCATACCATCAGGTATGTTCCCGTTGTCTATTAGACGGGCCAGATATACCTCTTCAGAAGTGAGTCCTTCTTCGCCTTAGAAACCTCGCCTGCAACGTCCTACTTTGGTTCCGAAGCGGTCGAAATCCAATTCACTAGGAGGGGGAGGATCTTATGGCCACCTCGTCCGATTCTTACCTCTCTAGGATTTGAGGAAATTGTTGGGTACTCACTCGTCCCCCCTAAGACTGGAGCCTCTATGGTTGTAGTGATGGAACACCCATCCATCCCTGTGACTGCTGCAGCCCCTCGAGACCATTCGGATGACCTTATCTTCCTCCCGATCTCCTCTTTCTTCCCAGCCGACAAGAGTGCTCGTCCCCCACTACGTGTCGGTTGGAGCTAACCTCTGTCACTGCTAGCTAGTCAGGGAGCACCAAACAATCTAGATCTCCGAATCGATCCTCTCATAGCCTCTCACGATCTTGTTCGTTGAGTCAAACTTCTGGACATTCTCATCACGATAGTTCGTCAGATCAAGTTGAGCTGCCTCATACAAACCGAATGCATTCACCTCGCCACTAAACAACACCTCACCACTAAACAACACCGTCGAATTGGTTCGTCAGATCGTCTAGTTTCATGCCATGGTTCACCAAACTCATCTGAGTATCTCTGCCGTACCGTTTCAGCAGGCTGAACAGGTTTGCCGCGACATTACCGAACTGATTCTTCAGCACGGAATGGCTCATCTCGTTCGTCCAAACCACATCGCCAAACTGGGTCGTTAGGCCGAACCAGTTCACCACAACATCCCCGTACTAGTTCGGCAGACCGATCTTAACCTCATCACCGAACTAGTTCGTCAAGCCGAACCGATTAGCTGCACTATCGCCAAACTAGTTCGGCAGATCGATCCGCTTCCCCCGAGGTCTTCCCAACCATATCACCGAACCGGTTCATCAGGCCAAGCCAGTTCGTCACCATGTTACCAAACTGGTTCGACAGACCGATCTGCTTCATCTTGGCCCTCCGAACCGCACTGATGAACTGGTTCGCCATAGCTTTACCGAACTACTTCATCATCTCGAACCGGTTCGCCTCGGCATTACCATTCAAGTTCGTCGGGCTGAATTGGTTCACCCTACCGAACAGCAGTTCCTCGAACAAATTCATCTGTTTATCATCGCTGTTCTAGTTAGTCTGGCCGATCTCATTCACTACACGCTATCAGTTCTATGATCGAACCGAGTTACTTTGAACTAGTTCATCCATCCTTACCAAACCGCATCTCTGAACTGGTTCCTTGGAAGCTTATGCAGTTCGAACCACTACTACACCGAACCGGTTCATCAAGTCTTACTGCTTCGTATCAACTGTCTACTTCTTCTAACTGTTCACCACGTCAAATCGATTCACACAGCCAAATCAATTCACCACAGCCGATCCGGACCCTATCACCGAACTGATTCATGATGGCTTTAAATATGGCATCCACGTCGGCGACATCAAATTAACAGTTGGAAGCAGACGTAAACATCAACACAACAACAACAACCTAACACAATATCTATATCAAATGCTGTATCATCTATCATTCCAGTATAGTGCCTTATTCTAAATTCAAAAGACAAGGTTTGATAATGATATGAGGTATACATGGCCCAATTGGATATCTGAAACATATTTCATTCACCAAAAGTGATTATGGATTAGTAAACAAGCTTATGTGAATAATGTTCCATTACATTTATACATAAATACAACAAATATTAGATAATAAACAGCATGATAAGAGAGCAAGCAACGTGTGTATATTACATCGTATTTAGCCATCAAATGTGCGATTGAATGTTTACATCTTATGGTGACATGATTTGGACAGATGAAGAACTAATGCAATGTGTCTTCATAGGAATGGCGGCAGGAGCAGGATGGATTTAAAGATATATATGCTGTTCAAACATGTATGCATTCAAATCACTACACCAAAGTCAGAGGAAAAAATGAACTATTTGGCAAAATGTATACCAAAATTTAAGTCCAAACTACTGTTGGTTTGATGTTTGTAATAACTTGTCCTCCCCCTTTTGATGTAAGAGCAAGGGTGGGGAAGAAGTAGCCTAGCTAGGCCAGAATCTTCCCAATTTCATAGAAAACAGAACAAAATACCCTAGTGTAAACAGGGGGAAAACTTTGGCCTAGGAGGGAGGGGGGAACTTTAGCCTAGCCCAACTTTTCCCCGGGGTTAGAATATCCTAGGGCAAAACTTCCCTGGGGAAAGTTTGTCCTAGTCCAGATTCTCCCCAGGGAAATTTATACCGGGGAAGAAATGGCCTGCTACACTGGCACTTGACGTTCTGACGATCCCAGATCTCCAAGACTCCTTCTGTGACAGGGGCTCATCTCTTTCCAGATTTAATCTACAATCCAATCTTCACGTTTGATGAATGATTCCGTTTGGCGCAGTTATTAGCTGTACAACCACCTGTTTGTGCATTACTTGATAAGCTTGCGATCCAGAAATATTTTACGATGCTTCACTGAGTCCTGTTACTACAGACTACTCGTTACAGCATTATGGTGTATCATGGGTGCAATCATGGCTTGGGTCGCCATCTTCTTAATCATCATCAGCAAGCATCTGGACAGATGGGTCAAGTTTCTGCGCATGGTACCAGCAGTAATGACGTGCCAAGTAGCTGGCATCCCTTAGACTGGATTTTATGGGTTGTGACTCGCCCGGTTAACCGAAGACCGTGTTGTCCGAATTTTTGTCACTGTTGCATCGTGGGGAATGTTTGCAAACGGGGGACTACTGTTTCTTTACCAGAGACTTTTGATGATTAGAGTGACTATGAAGTGCAATGACAGAGTTGTCTTTGTCCCACGAGTCGGGTATCATTCCAGTTTGTAATTGCCAGTAATTATGAACAGTGCCATTCCCGGTAAGAGTGATTGTGTCAGAATTCATCAGCCTACCGAAAGAGACTGCTTACCAAAGGTGTAAGACAGTAACGCCTGAGAACGCTTCGACTTGGCTAGGGTTACTCTGGTTGCTGCTTTAGCCCAAGCACTCAGTTCAGAGGTCCCTGCAGTTATGTCCGAACGGTCCAAATGCAGTGATCTACTACCTAAATAACTCCATCTGGCGAACCTTCACTTTGTTTGGCGAACCAAACGTTCCTAAGATTGTCGATCATATGAACTTAATCACTCCGTTTACAATGTGAACGTTCCTGTTGATTGTCTGACAATCTCCATATGCCGAACCTACTACATTCAGTCCTCCATTAGTACTGTCATGGTAGCTTGACTATTTGAACGTACCTATCGTCAGTGGCAAGAGTTGCTAGGCCTCCTCACTTCAGCTCAGCCATCAATTACAGAGGTCAACTTCAGGCCAACAACCCCAAGGCGTTAATCCACCTCCTCACTTCAGGATGGTGTCAATCAACCTACTACACACCATTATGAAGAAGGGAAACTTCCTCATCAGCGTTGATCTTCAGGACGTCTAAACTTCACGTCCCGATCCATCCAGAGCACCAGAAGTACCTTCGCTTCGTATTCAATGGGAACCATTACGAGTGGAGGGTCCTGCCATTTGGAATTTCCACGGCCTTGTGGCTTTTTACCCGTATTACCAAGCTGAGTTTCCTGCATCGTCAGGAATCAGGAAATAGTTTTCGTGAGTTACATATAGGGCTGACACGGTGTACCGCGGTATTTTGTTTTCGGTTCGGTACACCGAAATTCACTTTGAAAATACAGTACGTTTGGTTTTCGTACCGAAAACATCATCTTACTCACCTTAAGCACATTACTTTTGGAATGTCATCACAAATATTCCATGTAATTTAATTCCTAATGACATCTTCATGTAGCTACCGTTTCAAACATTTCTATGTGATAGTGCTATTGTCAACAACTCATGCTACTTTGATTGGATGAACGAGTTCATATAAAGGCACTTTCGTTTGGGTCCCATTTCCAAGAAGATTTCTTCTCAGAACTTTAATTATTATTGTTAATGAACCAAACCGAAATGTACGGAACTGAGAGCTGTGTACCGCAATATGTACCCCAAACTGTGGCATGGGCGTACCGTTGCACCCCAAGTTACATGGACGACTGCATCCAGTCTCACCAGGTTTCAGCCGTTCTACTTCAACATCTACAGTTTGCCAGCAAGCTGCTTCGCCAGTTAGGGTGGCTTTTGAATTCCGCGAAGTCAGAGTTAATATTGACTCAGAAGCTTCAACTTATCATAGCAGTGTTTGACACCCGTCAGGGGATGATTTTTGGGCCCCAAGATAGGTGGGTTAATATTCAGCATTGTGTCCCACCAGCACTGTCTCAGGCAAGGACTCTTCGCCAATGGCTCCTCATTAGGTCTCCTCATGTCATGCACAAGCCCTGACTTACAGAGGCCAGCTTCAACTTTGTCTGTTACAACGGTTTCTGTGACCATTTCTGCAAGTCGACAATCCCAAGGAATTGATTGAGCTCACAGAACCACTTTGTCCAGTCCTTCAGTGGTGGCTTGACAAACGGACCGTTTGCGCCGGAGTTTCTATGATGCCCTTTGCACCGACTCATCATCTATTCGTTAACGCATCCCTCAGGGGCTGGGGAGCGCACTTCCTCAAGTGGCCGGGTTTTGGTCATTAGAAAAACAGGCACTCCACATCAGCGAACTGGAGTTCAAGGCTGTGATACACAAGCTGTAGAACACTGGGCTCTGGAACTTCTGTCGTCCAGTCTACTCATGTAGTTGGACAATTCGATGGTAGTTTGGTATGTGAACAGGGATTGACAGGATCAGCAAATCTACTTCACTGGGAATGAGATTCTTTCATCTGATCGACGCTCTAAACATCGTCGCCTGAGCAAGACACATTCCTTGAGCCAAGAATGTGATAGCCGATGCCCTGTCCCGCTTCGGGTCGCCAAACGAGTGGAAATTACACCCCCAGATATTCCAGACAATGATCTACCAATTATCACGGCCCGTAGTAGACCTGTTTGCCACTAGATTCAACCACCAGCTCCCAAGGTTCGTGTCTCCGATTCCGGACCCTCAAGCATGGGACCTCGACACACTGGCAATCTCATGGGAAGGACTAAATGCGTATGCGTTCCCACCTCCCGCTCTACTTCCCAAAGTAGCACAAAAGTTGGGCACCACCAAGAAGATACTTCTTCTTTTGGTAGCGCCCTTTTGGCCAGGGAGAAGATGGTTCGTCGACATAAGAAGTCTGGCAGAACCAAACCCAGTACCACTTCCCCGATCGAGATTATCTACTTCTTCACCCTAACTCAGATCTTCGCCACAGGTCCCTTCGGACCCTATTTCTTCACATCTGGCACTTTTGCAGAAATCTCTTCTAACCAAGGGCTACTCTCATAGAATAGCTACAGCTATTACTTCTGCTCATCGGATATCTATTCGTTCATTAAATGACAACAAATGGAAGAGTTTTGAGGTTTATGGCAAGGCTAGAGGAATGTAGTCTCCCACTTCCGCCTCTGCTCAGGTCGCCGCGCAGTTTCTACAGCACTTGCGTGCTACGAAGAAACTCAAGGGTACCACATTAGCTACTTATTTGGCCGCCATTAATTCTATTCTGGCTACCACTATGGGTATCAAGGTATCCATCGTTCCAGAATTACAGTATTTAATACGCTCATACAAGCTCACTGACTAGTCCCGGAAATTGCATCCTCCAGACTGGGATCTTTCAGTACTCCTTCATTTCTAGTTTCTGGACAAAGATTTAGAGCACATTACTTTCAAGACATTCTTCCTGGTAGAGTAAGCTACCACGGCTCACATTTCAGAACATCACACGCTTGATGTCAATTGCGTGAAGTTTGAGCTGAAGAAACATGGCAGTGTCTTCCTGAGACTTTGTCGCGAAGAATCAGTTGCCAGTTAGAATGTTTACTATTCCACCGTTGTCCACCATACCAGAGCCTCATGATGCTGAAGATTTGTCACTTTGCCCGGTAAGTGCACTATGTATATTCCTTGCCGTTTCTAAGGACCGGCGACATTTACGGAAGTGCCTCTTCATACCCCTTTCGACCACCACCAGAGCTGAGGTGTCTAGGACTACATTGTTGTTCTGGATGCGTTCTGTCATACTATGAAAGTACACTTTTGCCAGTTTACCTCCTCCAGCCGCATCCAAACCTCTTGAGACTCATGCTTTAGCCTTGGCAATGGCGTTGCATAGCAACTGCTCCCTGACATCTATCATGGAGTGTTGTTTCTGGTGCTCTGACAGTGTCTTCTCATCTCATTATCTGCGAGACCTCTCAGTGACAGACGTACAAGGGTTACACCACTTTGGACCACTCGTCATGGCTCAGCAGCTCACTTCGTGCCATCAGCGCAGATGAAGGAAAGCTCCGCATTCGGTACTGCTTTCTGTATTTCTTGAATAAAAGTCTGAACTTCATGGTGTCTTTTGTTTTCGTTGATTATGGGTTTTTAGAATTACTTCACTTAGTTTGATACTAAGGCATCTAGATACCGCCACCAGGTTTGCCTCAGTGTTTTGATAGTAAAGTGTGTGTCATGATTCAGAGGTGTTCGTCTCTCTCGCTTACTGACCTCTACTCCACAGAGCAATTATGTCAGTGAAGTGAGTCCCTCCCGAATTCAAGTTGATTTTGTTGCATTTTGACTCCTAATTTGCCGGCTCATCCATTGACTAAGTTTTAAAGGAGCGAGGGTATGTCCTTTCATCTTAATGAAGGTTGCAGCTGAACACCACATCGCTCGGTAGCACCAATCTCCCTGGGAGTCGTTGAGCTTAGTAGGCCAAGGGGTTCAGGAGAACCCATCATAAGCACAGGAGTTGCATGCATGCGTAACAGGCCTCCCTTGTGCATCATTATATACGGTTTTTCCGGATACATTTTAGCTATCCTTTCTGGCTAGACTTAGGGTGATCTGCGACCCGCCATCCAACCGTTGGATAAGTGCCAGCCATGGGATAAGATAAGTTTAAGAATTTGAAAATTTCAACTATAAATTGTATGTTTATATACTTATCTTATCTCACGCAATGGACACCCGCCCAACCTCCCCACTACTCAGATTACTGTGACAGCTCCAAGAAATATGTGTGAGCATCGGTCACGTGGTTGCTGGGGAGCATGCTGCATGCCTCGTAAGGATCGTGGTAAGTAGTCTATCAGCGAGAGCATCATGGAATACACGGCAATGGGACAAGAGAGGCCAAGGGATAAAAGGTTACAGTTGTTCCACTCAGTGTCGAAGCAACAGAGAGAGGTGCAACCGTGCGATAAGATAAGTACAGTGAAACCTGTCTAAACCGGCACCCCAGGGGACCGAAATAAAATGCCGGTTTAGACAGGGTGCCAGATTAGACAGTGACAATAATTTTCCAACTTGGCTGCTATTTACTTAAGTTTGTCAATCTATTTATATCTATTATGCCTTTGATCTTTTGTAATAGTGCAACAAATTAAAACAATGTTGATGACAGATAATTATTCTTTATTTAGCACTGAACATTGTTTCAATTACAAGTACAAATCAACAATTTGGCAAGAAAAAGTCAGACATTTTGGCTTGAAGCTTCTCACTGGTCTTCTCAAGTGCGATCTTTTTAGAAACACAGACACACAAAGTGACTGACGAGTCAATGAAACCAATGCCTATTTATTTGCTCTCTGACACATGTCAGTCACTTGAAAACAGTTAATGCAATCCCCAGTGTTTATGAAGCATAACCGAGGTAATCCTACAAGCGTTTGATTCACTGTGCAATCACTACTTCTTGATTATCTAGTGTGCCAAGAGGATTAATTATTGTATTGGATTATGGGTCCTTGATTGGACTGCTCATACCCATGCCAGTTTAGATAGTGGTAATTACACTTAATATTGCTTGTTGGGACCGGAAAGTTGTGCCAGAATACGGAATAGACAGGTGCCGGATTAGACAATGTTTTGATGATCATAGTATCGTTGTGAAATGGCGGGACCAAAATTTGATGCCGGTTTTGACAGTGTGCCGGATAAGGTGCTGGTGTTGGCAGGTGTCACTGTATATATAAATATAGAATTTATAGTTAAAATTTTCATAATGTTGTTAAATATATGAAAGAAAACATTGTGAAATGTTACTGTTATTATGTATGATTAATGTTGATCATTTATCATTAGTCATGTTAATTATTTTTTTAATCAGGAGAAAGAATACCAGGGAATCAAGTTCCCGGCTGTCATAGAGAGTCCATATGCTGTTGCACAGGTTCTCATCCAGGAACCAGGAAAATTGCGGGCAAAAGATATGAGAGAATGTAAGTAAAAGGAAAAACAGTTTTTGGAGATACTTGTGAAAAAACAATATGTCTATCATGTTTTTAGCTCTCCACTACTACGTAACTGCTGGCAAGTAGTTACCACTAAAAGAAATACATTTTGATAAAATATTTGGCTAAGTTTAAAGCACTGTTTACATGATATGTTTTCTGTAATCATGAGTACCCAAGGGGATTATCCCTTTCTTATTGTATACAGTAGTATACACTATGGGACTACTTGAGCCCTTGGGAAGTCGCTAATCCTGTAGCCCCATAGTGTATACTACTACTGAGGTGCATGCAAAATTTGATGAAAATCGGTAGAATAGTTTCTGAAATATTGACTTTTAAGTGAGCATGGGGTCGGTTGGGAAAAAGGCTCGGGTCTCCTCGTGGTAGGTTGCTTCTCTGAACGCTGTGGGTGGATGAGTCGCAGTGCGTGTGCGTGTGTCTCTCTCGGCTTGGTGTACGGGTGGCTGGCTACATTAAGCAGAAAAAAAAGCATGCAAGACCGATAAAAAATCATGGCGAATGCTCTCGGCGGCCCGTCTTTCAAGTAGTACAAGTTCGGTTCACCGTCTTTGATGTCAACCAGGTCGATGTTGTAAGTTTTCATGGACCATATCGGATCGGTGGCGCGTTTTCTGCTGTCCCCCTTGTATTCGCCCGGCTGGTATAAGTACCTAATGCTGACACGGTCCGGTAATGTTTTCTCTGTTTTATCGCGAAGTGCCGCCGCTGACGCTGATTCGACTGATTTCATTTTGATGGCTTTGGCGGGTCTTTTGCCCACGAGTCTGGTGACTTCGTTGTTGATGACATCCACCACTCATGGAAAGCGTACAACCCATTCCGTGTTTCTGTTTCCGGGATCGATTAAATCCTGCAAGTATTGGTGCAAGAACAGGCGTTCGGCTAGGGTGGGATTGAATCTCTCAACGATGGCATGGCAACGGTGAGCTTACGCCACACCTCGTCTCACTTGGACTTTGTTCTTGGCCAGCAGCTGTGACACGGCTCCCATGAACTTGTGTTCGTGATCGACTTGCAATACGGTAGGCCATGTCAAGTGACTGCATTTGTATATGCGTTCAAAGGCTTTGGCGACTTCGTTCGAATCTTTCATTGTCAACGATTCGGCTTCCTTGTAGCGACTGGCGACGTCGACGACAGTGACGACGGTCAGGGCGTACTTGTAGGTTTTGCGCCTCACCCTGTCGCAGAAACAGGAGGTCGCCTTGGTGAACGCGATTCGGCATTGAAATGTCGAATTTTCTTCTCGGGATGTACCGAGACTCTAACGGCTTTGGCGAGTTTCGGGATGGCGTCCTCACCTTTCCAGTACCCTCGCGGGCTGTAATAAATTTTCTCCATGATATATGTACGCATGTGTGCGTAAGTGTTTAATTATTCGATACCGTGTGTGTGTGTGTGTGTGTGTGTGTGTGTCCGTACGCAAAAGTAATGACTCCGTCGATGGAGATCCATCGTTTCGTGTCCATGGGAGACAGTGAGGTCTTGTTGATTCTCACTCCGTGATATCCTGTGTCCGTCGCTTATCAGCATGTTCATTTGGTGTTTGAACGTTTTATTCTTGAACAGGGCTTCCTTGAATCTGGTGTGCTTGATGTGTTTTTCACCACGTTTTTTCACGCCTTTCGCCTTTCAGATTTTGTCGGCGGCGGCTTTCTTGATGGAATACATCTTGGGTCTCAAGCCGACGTACTCGGCGATTGGCGTGCCCATGCATTTGTCCTTCATCTTGCCGAGCACCTTTTTTGTTGACTTGGCTGTGCATAGGGTGATCTTTAGGGTAGTTGCTGGTGTCGTAAAGGTGCATGTGTTTCTTCATGTCCTCGTACACGTCCTCGGTGCTAATTTCCATCAGCAGGGAATCCGTGTCCGTGTACAACACTTCGCACATGTTGCCGTACTTCTTTTTCAGCTTGTTGTAGTAGAAATCGTACATGAAGTGTTTGGATAAGTCGAGGATGCTCATCCCCACGTAAACGGGCCACGAACGCCGGGCTGGCTAGAAGTTTCCTGAGTTTTTCTTCCTCGCTGGATCTGACTAATTTCACGTTAACGCGTTTTCTCAAATTCTCCATCACCTTGCCTAACACCGACGTTATTCATGAGCTTGTGCAAGTTTTTTCCGAAGTCACTCGTGGCTTGTTTTCGCAGCTTCGTGATCAACTGAATGTAAGGTTCCATCCATGGACTTTGATCGAACTGGAGCGCCCTGTGTATTTTCGTGAGTTTCATTCCCAGCGACAAGTACAGCTGCAGATTGCGATAGTGAACGAGGTATTTTGACTTGTTCATCAAGTTCGGCACGAGTTTTTCAACGTTAGCCAGCTTGTTGTTTCCCAGCAAGTGTCGAGGTAGACCGTGTCGATCGTGTCCACGACCCAGCCCGAGCCGATGTGCGTGTAGTGTTCCAGGGATTCTCGTATTTTTGCAAACGAGGTGTCGATGGACGCGTCGATGGATTCGGGTTGAGTCACGACTTCTTGCTTGCCTCTGAAGTAAGGCTGGATGTGCTCGGTGGTGCCGTTCGTCTGCTGTTTTTCCAGAGACATTCTCACCGTGAGTTGAAATTTGAGTCTACCCAGATTGTCCAGTCTTGCCGACAAAGGGTTTGATGTCATTGACGTCCATTTTTTTGTCGACGTTCATCCTCCAGCCTCTCAGATACTTACCTGTGGCGATCTTCGTCTGCGCGAACCGTAGTTCGATGGGTTTGTGTTCCTCCAGCAGTTCGACGAGCTCGGCTTTCCTCATGCACGAATAACCTCTGAGCCCACGCTCCTTCGCTTGGAGTTTGAGCTGTTACACCAAGGGTTGTCGTCGTTCATCGACGATGCCGATCAATTTCAACAGTAGAGGTTTCCTCAAACGGGAGTAACCGATTACTCCGCGTTTTTTGGCAATGCTTTTCAGTTCTCGAACGGTAATCATCGTTGCTATATCAATGTGTGAAAAACTTTTTCTAAATGAAAAATAATTATATTCAGATGCGAAGTCAAATCTCTAATAGGTTGTTCGCTATAGTCATATATATAGTTATACACATAAATATATTTTAATCTAATTGTTTGGCGATCAACACGGTCGCCGCTAGACCCAGCGCCATGAAAATCAGTTCCCGGTCTTTCTGTTCTGGGGAGTCATTTGCCGGTGAGCAGGTAGTATTCTCGCATGGCATTGTCGACGTTCTTGAACGTTTGAACGGCATGGTTTTCGCACGAGAGTTGGTCGTTGATGAACTGTATTCTCTGCACGCGTTTTTTGGTGTACTCGGCTTGCGCGGCTTCCAGTTTCTCCAAGGCGAAACGCTTCCATTTCGTCCGCGTTCGACGTTCGTAATTTGGAGAAGCGATAATTGCTGCCGGAAAATAACAGGGCTTTGACTAATGCACCACCGCCCATCATGGCGATCATAGCCATTCTTTTTAATATTATGTGTTTTATAATATTACTTCAAAATATTTTCTGGTATAATTCCTTGTTTCACGAGAATGTCCTTGGTGGCCATCACCATTCCTAAGTCAATGACGAGCATGCCCATGTCCGCACGTTGAAATCGAGTTTGATCGTTGGCTGTTTGAGAACCATTTTCGTTAAGCGAGCATACCTATTTATATGAAGAGGTACAATACAATGTTTCAATCAACTCATTTAATGTATTATCATCATTGGTCTCCCATAGGACACCACCATCATCCCCCACTACCACTGCTTATCTGTATGAAGAATGTACAATACAATGTTTCAATCAACTCATTTAATGTGTTATCACCATTGGTCTCCCATAGGACACCACCATCATCCCCCACTACCACTGCTTATTAATATGAAGAGGTACAATACAATGTTTCAAGCATCATTGGTCTCCCATAGGACACCACCATCATCACCCACTACCACTGCTTATCTGTATGAAGAGGTACAATACAATGTTTCAAGCATCATTGGTCTCCCATAGGACACCACCATCATCACCCACTACCACTGCTTATCTATATGAAGAGGTACAATACAATGTTTCAATCAACTCATTTAATGTGTTATCATCATTGGTCTCCCATAGGACACCACCATCATCCCCCACTACCACTGCTTATCTATATGAAAAGGTACAATACAATGTTTCAATCAACTCATTTAATGTGTTGTCAACATTGGTCTCCCATAGGACACCACCATCATCCCCCACTACCACTGCTTATCTATATGAAGACGTACAATACAATGTTTCAAGCATCATTGGTCTCCCATAGGACACCACCATCATCACCCACTACCACTGCTTATCTATATGAAGAGGTACAATACAATGTTTCAATCAACTCATTTAATGTATTATCATCATTGGTCTCCCATAGGACACCACCATCATCCCCCACTACCACTGCTTATCTGTATGAAGAGGTACAATACAATGTTTCAAGCATCATTGGTCTCCCATAGGACACCACCATCATCCCCCACTACCACTGCTTATCTGTATGAAAAATGTACAATACAATGTTTCAATCAACTCATTTAATGTGTTATCATCATTGGTCTCCCAAAGGAGATCACCATCATCCCTCACTACCACTGCTTATCTATATGAAGAGGTACAATACAATGTTTCAATCAACTCATTTAATGTGTTATCATCATTGGTCTCCCATAGGAGGTCACCATCATCCCTCACTATCACTGCTTATCTATATGAAGAGGTACAATACAATGTTTCAATCAACTCATTTAATGTGTTATCATCATTGGTCTCCCATAGGACACCGACATCATCCCCTACTACCACTGCTTATCTATATGAAGAATGTACAATACAATGTTTCAATCAACTCATTTAATGTGTTGTCATCATTGGTCTCCAATAGGACACCGACATCATCCCCCACTACCACTGCTTATCTGTATAAAGAGGTACAATACAATGTTTCAATCAACTCATTTAATGTGTTGTCATCATTGGTCTCCCA